GGCGTCCGGCCATCTCATTATTCAGACACGGGATTGGCTGGTCCAGACAAGAGGCCATTTTGTATTTTTTAAATCCCAGTTTTACAAGGAAAAGTGACACGGGGAACGGCAGAGTCCCCCTAATTGCATGTACGTCAATAATTAATGGAGACGGCCGGCGGCATAAATCACGCTGGCGTGTGCTCCGCCGCTGCCTCCAATGACCCTTGTCATTTTCTTCAGCTTTTTCTTCTTCTTCTTCTTCTTTTTTTTCCTGTTGGGGATGAGCCAATGTGCCGGCCTTCTTACCGCCCTATGATTTGGTTCCTTTTTAAATTCTCTCAGCGTCAGGATGGAATTCGATGTCTGAGCAGTGTCTCCGTGGCTTCGAGCCAGGACACACCAGAGGCATTTACTTAAATCCGAAATGTTAGCAGAATTAAAATGCTCAACGTCGCTCGTCGTTGGGAGATGCCAGTTAGAGGGCGTGGAGCCCGGCCGGCCTGGCTCTGGGGCTGAGCGCGGGCCTAGGAACCGGGAGGTCACAGTTCGATGCCCGGTCGGGGCACAGGCCCCGGTTGTGGGCTCGATCCCCAGCGTGGGGCGTGCGGGAGGCCGCCGAGCCATGGTTCTCTCTCACATGGATGTTTCTCTCTCCCCCTGCCTTCTCCCTTCCTCTCTCTCTAAAATCAATGGGGAACCATGTCCTCAGGGGAGGATTGAAGGGAAAATGTCCGATCCAGCCACGCACGGTGCTGCAGGAGGCTGGCGTCCGAGAGAGGACGCGCAGTAGGGATCCACTTATGGAATTTCTTCCAAGGCGGAACCTTGCAGACAGAGGTCAGCTGGCCGACGGCCTGGACCCCGGGCAGGAGCAGAGATGGACTGCGGTGTCGCGAGGGAGCCTGTCCGTGAAGATGGTTAAATTGTACAATGTGTCTGTTTTACCTGGAACGCGCCCTGGACCGGCCGGCAGGGTCAGGGGCCGGGCTGTGACTGGTGCGGGTTCAAAACAATCAGTCACAGTTCTCCCTGCGCTGGGAGGTGGCGCGATGCCCATCTCCGCCACGAGGGGGCAGTGCCCTCCATCCCTTAGGCCAGCGGTTCTCAACCTTCCTGACGCCGCGACCCTTTCGTACATTATTTCATACATTATGTTGTGGTGACCCCCAGCCATAAAATTATTATTATTTTTTAATATATTTTATTGATTTTTTACAGAGAGGAAAGGAGAGGGATAGAGAGTTAGAAACATCGATGACAGAGAAACATCGATCAGCTGCCTAGGTCAGTGGTTCTCAACCTTCCTAATGCCTCAGCCCTTTAATACAGTTCCTCATGTTGTGGTGACCCCCAACCATAAAATTATTTTCGTTGCTACTTCATAACTGTAATTTTGCTACTGTTATGAATCGTAATGTAAATATCTGATATGCAGGATGTATTTTCATTGTTACAAATTGAACATCATGAAAGCACAGTGATTAATCACAAAAACAATATGTAATTATAGATGTGTTTTCCGATGGTCTTAGGCGACCCCTGTGAACGGGTCGTTCGACCCCCAAAGGGGTCGAGACCCACAGGTTGAGAACCACTGCCTTAGGCGGTAGACGGTCCGTTTTCCATCTATAATTTTGCCCACGGAGGGTTCGTGGGGGGTTCGGGGTAGATTCGGCCAGGCCGTGCTGAAGGCAGCGTGCGTCCTCTGTGCCAACAAGCAGAGTGGAATTCATCAGGGGCTGGGATGTGGGGAGTCACTGGCCTGTGTTCCTCAGCATCTCCCTGACCGATGCCCGGTGCCCGGTGCTCGATGCCCGATGCCCGGTGCCCGGTGGCCTGCGCTGCCCCGGCCTCATCTCAGCGCCCGCCCCACTCCCCAGCCCGGCCATCAGACACCCCGAGATCCCGGTGGCCACTCCCCTCTTTGCCTGCGTTACCCAGAGTTCATTCCTGGGCCCACAACCCCCAACGCCACTGGATGAAAGCTGGGAGGGGACCGAGAAATTTCACCTCCAGCACGCCCTCTCCCTTCCTCTCGGAAACCAATAAAAATCAGTAAACTCTAAACCAGCGGTTCTCAACCTGTGGGTCGCGAGCCCTTTGGGGGTCGAACGACCCTTTCACAGGGGTTGCCTAAGACCATCGGAAAACACGTATATAATTACATATTGTTTTTGTGATTAATCACTATGCTTTAATTATGTTCAATTTGTAACAATGAAAACACATCCTGCATATCAGATATGTACATTACGATTCATAACAGTAGCAACATTACAGTGATGAAGTAGCAACGAAAATAATTTTATGGTTGGGGGTCACCACAACATGAGGAGCTGTGTTAAAGGGTCGCGGCGTCAGGGAGGTTGAGAACCACGGCTCTAAAAGCGTGGTGATGCTACAAGGACACACTGTTTCATGGACTCGCAGCGGTAACCCTGCTCTGCCCGCCTCGTATGTCTCGGCTGAATCCATTCTCCACGAGGTTGCAAAATAAATAAGATAAAATAAAGGACGTTTCTCTGGGACCCGCTGCCCCTAATTCGTGTCCCTCCCAGCGGAGGCTCCTGGGTAATGGCTCGGCCGTGCGGAGGCGCGCGCCTCGTACCGGGAATTGCTTTCTTGTCTTAAACGAGCGCCTCGCAATAGCATCTCCATCTTGCATTAGCAGCAAATTGACGGGTAAGTGAGCCGGGCTCCCGCGCCCCGATGGCACCGAGAGCGAATTGGAAGTAAATGAGGTGGGAGCCGCGTCTCCCCGCCGTGCGCAGCCCGGAATGAAGGGCCCGGGTCCTCGGGGAGGGGGCGTGGGGGCCAGGCCGCCGCTCGCAGGATTGGTCTGCTAAGTGGCTGACGGTGGCGAGGCCCCAGCTCCCGGGCGGGAACTGCGGCAGGGAAGAGGGGTGAGGCTGGCTGGTCACTTCCTGCGAGAAGGCGGTGAACAGAGTCCTGTGCGGTGAGCACCCACGTGCCTGGACCCCCCCAAGGTCACCTTGGCAAGACCCGCGACCTTGGGGGACTGACCTCCTGGGACCCCCACGGAGACCCACAGAAGAGCCGCATGGAAAGGAATTGCTACACGAGAAAGCTGTGTCGTCCTATGAACCAATGTCATCCCCATGTGTTTAATTTTTAAAAATAATCCCGGCCGGTGTGGCTCAATGGTGGAGCGTCGACCTGTGGACCAGGAGGTCAGGGTTCAATTCCCCGTCAGGGCACAGGCCCAGGTTGTGGGCTTGATCCCCAGTGGGGGGTGTGCAGGAGGCAGCCGGTCCATGATTCTCTCTCATCATGGATGTTTCTCTCTCTCTCTCTCTCTCTCTCTCTCTCTCTCTCTCTCTCTTCCTCTCTGAGATCAATAAAACAAATATTTAAAAATAAAATAAGAAAGAAGAGGGGCATTTGGACACAGACACACACGGGGAAGAAAAGGCTGTGAGTCAAGCGACGCAGAACTGGAGCCGTGTCTCTGCGAGTGGGGGGGGCACCCAGGGTGGTCGGCCAGCCCCCCCACCCCCAAGCTTAGAAGCGTCCAGGGAAGCTGCTCCCCTGCGGGTTTCAGGGGGAGTCAGCCCCGCCGACACCCTGATTTCCGACTCCAGCCCCCAGCAGGGAGCGGGGATCAATCTCTGGGTGCTGAGCTTCCCGTTTGTGGAGTTTTATGGCAGCCGCAGTCGGAAACGAAGAGGCGAAAGCATCCGTTACTGTGATGACGGTTATGATTATCGGGAGCCTGAGCGATGCCGCCTGGCGCCTGGCGAGGCCGCAGCCGCAGTGATTGG